CCAATTGTAGGAGACACTTCCAGATCCTCATCTCGGTCCAAGAAGCCAATATTTGTACTCCCAAATTTACATTATTGGAATCCCATCAAGTTGATTCCAATCTACCATTTTCAATGCAACCCACGGTGAAAATAAAGACACTAAGTTATATTTTCCATCATTGGGAGTTGAGGGGCTCTAAGTCCAGCCATGAAGATGGCTTTCTAGAACAAAGAGCTGTTGGTTACATTATTATGATTTCAGAATCCCTGAATCTTTAAATTACCATGAAAATAGGAATCATTTTTTTTGAGCTAAAATAAAAATTTTATTGTGCTTCTCATACATAGCAAGGGGGAAGAGAGCTGAAGACTGATGTAAATGATTGGTTGATGGTAGAGCTTACATAGTTTTAAGAACTCTTAAATTCTAGGAATTAATATACCAAAAAGTTTTTCATTCATGTTATTTTTGCTTCAAAATATTAAGTCCATTTTAATTTGTTTCAGGAACTTTTAATTGATAAATTTCGTGACCCAGAAATGTGCTTTGACATCTGCAGTTGTCAGTTTGTCTGTCATTACTCCTTTGAGTCCCCAGAGCAGGCTGACATGATGCTCAGAAATGCTTGTGAGAGACTCAGCCCTGGAGGCTACTTCATTGGTACCACTCCCAATAGCTTTGAACTGATGTAAGTACTTTTAAATGCATGATGTTTACAAAATACATAGTATTAAGTAGCAAATGTTTATCACAAGTAGAGTTCATAAGACACTATTTAGTCTTGATACTGGTGAGCACTTAATGTATTGTGAGTAGGTGCTCAAAGATCTAAGAATCTTTTAAAACTTTACATGTAATTTGGAGACTGAGGTTATGCTAAACCAGAGGTAATTGTAGCAGGCAAATTAACCAATCAGATATTGAAGACCAGGGGCTTAACCAACCTAACTTTTTGATAAGACCATTAATGACATTTTAGTATATTTCTTCTGAAAAGTAGCTTCAATCCAGTTAAAAAACTAATAAAGTATCTTTTTAATTTGCATTATGTACGTTTTCAACATGCACGATCTCATCAAAGGAAGTACTTTAATTACTTTAATCTTTTTATTTCGGTCGGGGGATAACCCTGATAGAAGACGCCTTGAAGCTTCAGAAACAGGATCATTTGGAAATGAAATATATACTGTGAAATTTCAGAAGAAAGGAGATTATCCTTTATTTGGCTGCAAATATGACTTCAGCTTGGAAGGTGTTGTGGATGTCCCTGAATTCTTGGTCTATTTTCCGTTGCTGACTCAGTAAGAATGTCATTAATCTGTTAATGATTTTTCTTTTTCTTTTTTGTCTTATAAGAAAAGTGGGAAGAATCATTATTCCTGCTCATTCTGTATTTTAAGTGGCACTCTTAAGAAGTCTAACAAAAGATTGTAAGAAAAGATTGGAGCCTCAGATGCACCATTGGTCCCATGGGCCTCTGAGATCCTTGCTTAATTTTCTTTCACTTCTGGAAATTATTTCATCCTGTGAATAAGCCAGTTGTCTTCACCTGTGGCAGAAAATACTAAACCTTGCAGATACTAAAAGTTTTTCTTTAAACGACTGCTAGTAACTTTGGTAATATGAAGTGAGTCTTTGTAAACCCAAGGTTCCCTTTTTTTGATACAGGTATGTGTCAAATGTTTACTTTTCAGTTATAACTTCAAATGGCCTCTGTCTAGTGATGTTGATAAAAGTGTTGTTCAGAGTATATTCCCCCATGCTTCTCAATTCCTAGACTCCTGGCAAACCATAGATACAGGAAAAGTTGGGGTTACTGCAAGGCCTTGTGCTGTATCCTGGTGTTGCGGTTTCCCTGCGTGGAAGAGAGCTGGAGTCAGCTTTAAGGGAGTCCACATTACAGCTGACCAAACATGATTTACTGCTTTCTAAAAACAAAAACCTTATTTTGAATATTGACTAAGAAGAGCAAGAGCTTTATTATTGATTAGTTTTGATTGGTGATTGTTTGAGTTGGCACTCAGCTTGTAAAATTATAGCTGTAGAAATTTTTAGTTTTACACTAATTATAAAAATTGTAAACAATAACATAAAGACAAGTAATGTGACTATTAAACTATTTATAAAATTAAATACATATTTTAATTTTACTAAAATGAATAAATTGGAAAAATGTTATTACTGTTCAACTTTATAAATTAAACAGTTTTTCATATATTTCACATGTTACGTTTTTGGTTTTGGTTCACATAGTTGGTAATTTTAGTAAATCTGAAAAGATAGATTTTTTTGAAATGCTAAGCAAGCTTAGGAATCTTCTGCTTGCCTTGTCTAATAATAAGCCTATAAAGTGACAAGTCCTGACAATATCTAATTTTTAAGAAAATTACATTTTGAGGAAAATTATTCATTAAATTGTGTATTTAGTAAGAGAATCAGAAAATGTCTAAGGCACTTTTGGTTTTTCATGGAAACTGAACAAAAATTTAATTAGGTTTTACTATAGAGCCTATTCTGCTATCTCAACTTGGGTTCTTTATAATTGCAATATTTTTACATTATCAAACTTGGTTTAGAGCTGAAGAGATAGCTCTGTGGTCTAGGTGCCTGTCTGGCAAGCATAGGGACCCAGGTTTGATCCCTGATACTGCATGCCATGCCAGCCCTGGAAACCTAGGCACTGTGCTGGCCATTGAAACAAGGTGTGCTGGTGCATCCCTGTAATCCCAGTGCTGGGGAGGCTGAGACAGAAAGATCACTACAAGTCAGCTGTGTAGTGAGACCCTGTTCCAAATAAATAAATGATTAAAAAATAAACCACTTGGTTTAAATCTTAAAGGCTGTTTTGGAGCTGTCTGGAGTGGAAGGGGACTGACCTTGGCTCCTGCTGTCCTCCATGGAGGGCTGGCTAAAGTGGCAGCTTTGTCTTTCACGTGCTGTTTGTATACCAGCTCCATGGCTCACATGTCCCTCACACACAAGCCCTTCCTTGCCTGGTGAAAGGTCATTCCCTTCTTCTGCTCTTCCCTTTCCCTGCTTCCTAAAGTCATCTCCTTGCTTGTGTGGCAGCAGACCATAATGGTACATTTATTTGGCAAATGCCATGGGGAAATTGAACCTAAGTATAAAATGTGAGAACTAATGAGGTGAGCACTTAAGGAAGCTACCTGGAGAGAAGTGATTTTTCAGTCAGGGTGTACAGTGGCAGCAGTGTGTAAAGCCTGAGTGGGACAGGAGCAGACGGAAAGAGAACCAGGGACCCAACTGCCCAAGAGGAGGCAGGATCCCTTGCATATGCCCCATTGAGAGCTTTTGAATGGTGTGTGTACTGCATAGATTAGAGCCGTGTGAAGGGTGTTCAGGGTAGGTTGTGACATTGACTATATCTGTATTTTTGGAAGGTTAATTTGACTGCAATTGGAGTATTTATTGAGGGACATTAATACTAGAAGACAGGGACAAGTGAAGAGGTTCTTGGACCGGTGCAGCCAGGCAGATGGTGGTGATCATTGGAACAGGGAGGTGGCAGACAGCAGGAATGACCTTTCTTTGGAGTACTTGGTGTGATGTTGGCTTTGGAGAGTGGGACAGGTGGATGGGTTTACTGCAGTAATGGAGAATATCAGAAAAGGGGTCTCGTGAGGTTCAGTCCTGTGAAGTTAGAGAATGTCTTTGATACCCACAGGGTAGTTCTAATGAGTGGATAGTGGAGTAAATGCAGGTGACGATAACAGGCCTCCCAGACAAGAGTGATGAAGACCACTCCAGATTCATCTTTCCAAAACCTGAGATTTAGAAGTTAGATAAGAAAACAAAACAAAAACGTGTGTAACTGTAGAGAAGTAACCCAAGATGTAAGGTAGAAAGAGTATATGGGAGGTAAAAGTGAATCTTAAGAAAGTTGGCAGTTGTTTTTATGAAGCTGTATGTGGCTGTATGGGGAAGGGGGGCTGCAATAAAATGGAATGGAATCAATCTGAAAATGTTCCCTCAACCTCACCCCATCTTACAGTCCCTGAGGCTGGCTTTTACTTTCCACTTGTGTGCTACATGGGGAGAGCTATGTACTTGTCCCTGGGATTTAGAACGTTTCTTTGTAGTTGTGGTTACTCTTAATTTTGCATTTCTTTGTGGTCAGTTTATGAAGGAAATAGCTTTCTTAGTTAAGTCCAGAAGATGTCGCTGTTGTTACAGCAAAGTAAGCTATTGAGGAATTACAGCTATCTTGGAAGCCTTTTCACTATGTAATCTTGTTTTGGACAGAATGCTCAAGAAGTACAATATGAAACTAGTCTACAAAAAAACATTTATGGAGTTCTTTGAAGAAAAGATTAAGAACAATGAAAATAAAATGCTGTTAAAACGAATGCAGGCTCTGGAGGTGAGTACTTAGAAAATATGTAAAAATTCTAAGTCATAGTGAACTTACATGGATGTTTTTGAGATCCTTCGAAGGCTGTTTACTTATAAATGTGTCACAGAATATAACTGCTGTGTATTCTTTGGCTCTTAGGAAGAGCCAGACATAGAAATTTCCATGGCTCATGCTCAGTAAATCCTGGTGGGTGGTGAATGATACACTAATCTAGTTCTGTTCTCTGGGTAGAATAGCTTTAAAATAGGTTTTTCCTGTCACTTCTGTGGGGCTGGGAACATGCACTCTGCATTGTCTGGCCTCACCACACCCATTCCTCAGTTGTGGCCCCCATGGGCATGTGTCTGCTGCTGGGTTGTCACCCCTGGTTGAGAACTACTTACTTACCAAGTGCATCTGGAACTTAGAACGATCCTGGCTGGGGTCCCTGCTAAGGGTAACCATGCATAACATTTCTTGGATGACAGCCAAGACTTTAGTCCTCTGGAGTATGCTGCTGAGACCTACTCTCCCCTGGGATCCTAGCACAGCATGGTGGAGATACATGCAGCACACAGTGTAGATTGCTTTTATCCTCTACACAATAGTGCTTCATTGAACAGCTGTAAAATACCCAGCATATGTTTGTTACTAATCAGAATCAGATAAAGAATTATACTCCTCAGGTGAGCATCAAATTTCAGAAAGTTTGATTTAGAATTGTGACATCAGTATTGTGGGGAGTTGGTATCTTTTTGTATCCTGGGGAGAAACTGAGACGGGAATGAGGCAAAGAGAGACAAGAACTGGGTTAGGTGGGGGTCTGTTTGCCTGATTGGCAAAGGACCCAAAGAACAGCATTAGGGGTGTTTGTTTATACCTTCGCAAAGTTAGTATCACGAGACACAGGCTGCCTAGTGACTAATGACTGAAATTGTCCAGGAAGGATGTTTTTCTTAAGACTGAGGTAGCTTGACCACTTCAGGCACTGAGGTCTTGTCCTACCCTCACACATACGACCAATCTCCAACTTCACCTGCTCCCAACACAGTACTTTAAGCACACCCTGTCTTACTGTATTGATTACTCCATGAAGTAGACAGAGAAGTTACTTTTGATGACTTCTGGCCTGAGGCCCAAAGAAGACAGTTGTTTCAGGGTCACAAAGTTGTTAAGTCTGTGTAATCTTTTTTATAGGTAATAGTCAAAAGTTTCCTGTCAGAGTTACAGTAGGAAGATTTTCTTTTAATCTTAAGTTGTCTTTTAAAACCGATAATCAATGAGATGATTATGTTTGGTTTGTCTTTTTTTGGGGGTACCGGGAATTGAACTCAGGACCATGTGCTTGCCAGGCAAGCACTTACTCTACTGAGCTATCTCCCCACCCCTTTTGGTATGCCTTTGAATTAGGAATATTTTCATCTTCTTTGTATTAGGAGCATTAGGAGTTTTTATTTTTCTTGAGGAAGAGGAGCTTAGGAGCTGTATGTGTACGTGTGCATGTGTATGTGTGTTTCTACATAAGGCTGTGCACTTTGAATACATTGTCCCTACCTGACCAGCTTTATATGCATACGATCAAGTATTTATGTTTCCTATTAATATATAAGTAATGAATTCTAAAATGTACTTAGATTACAGGATGTGGGGCAACAAGGACCTTAGGCTATATTAAGGAGACAGACATGCAACCAGAGAATTCGTTATGATGGGAAAGTAGCTGACATTATTGAAGAAATACTTGAAATGCAGGCAGCATACAAAGAGCCTTATGGAAAAGATGTCAGCAGATATAGGGCATTAAACCTGAGCTCTCAGGGGTGTGAGGAAGTAATGTTAATTATGTATATTTTTATTACACTGCTTCTCCCAAGCCCTGCCCTTGAGGCTGTGACCAAGCTCTCTGGTGTCTGGTGACATGAACAGTATTGACACCTTGCTTCCTCTGGTCCTCAAGTCCTCTGGTCTTGTCCCTGTTTCTGGACCAGTCACTTTGAGAACCTCTTAAGGCCATGGCACGGGTGAGGGGCACAGCCCGTAAAGGTTAAGATGATGTTTGGGTGACTTAAGAAAGATAGTTTGGAGAGATAAGTAGAAAGAATGGTCAAGGTGCAGCTACTTCAGTGCAAGGAGAAAACAGAAGGATAAGTGCTGTGGAACTAAAGTTACAAAGTCTTGACCGAGAGAGAGACCTGGGCCATGGTGCCAGAGTTATAAAGCTTGCACACTGGGAAGGACTTGAGCCATAGGACTGAAGTTAGGAAGCCCCAGGGCAGGGAAACATATAACAAGGCGCTGAGATTATGAAACCCTGTCACCTATCTACTGTTTGTACCAGTGGACTTACTCTAGGCATAATTCTGAACAATTAAGTTCTTTGACAGGACATAACATGATGTATGTATTTTAGTAAGTTTTGAAAACAGTCAGCTGTATAGCTGTACATAGCCGTGTATTGTCTGTTGTTTGATCTTTCAAAATGAGCAGCAGAGAAATGGGAAATGTTCATGAACAGACAGCTAAGCAGATTTTCCACACCATGTTTGTGGTTTTTTTTTTTTTTTTTTGTATTTAGTTCAGGGTGTACAGGGTCTATATAGCTTGGACTCATATGATCCTCCTGTTTACAGCCTCCCAAGAGCTGGGATTACAGGTGAGGCTGGCATGGCAGGCCCGGGGATCAAATCCCTGGCCCCTCTGTCTGCCTAAGCAGGTGCTTTAATCTGTTGAGCTATCTGGCCGGCCCCACAGCATGGTTTGATAGTCATTTAAAATAAAGACCTGAAGCTTTGTAGTATGTTGAAACTGTATGAGATTAAATTGTTAGAAAACTTAGCAAGTATTGGTTCTTTTATCCTTCAAGATGTAATAAGTACCATTGCTAATGCTAATAATGTGGAAATTCCAAATAGCCTAGTACTTGTACAATAACAAATAGCTTGATTTCTAGTGCATGAATATGCTGTGGATACTTAGAAAGAAAGGGATGTTGGATGGGCAGGTTTTTGTGGGTCTCCCTGAAAAGTTGTTTAAAGGAACTGAAGTTTCAGAGTGGCTCCTTGCTACTTGGTTAGTCATGTAAGATGAAGGTATTATGAAGAATGTATATCCTTTGTGGGGAAGATGGTAGTGTAGTAAATATCTAATGTAACTTCTGTTTCAATATTTTCCCTTATATGTATGAGGGAAAATACTTCATAGTACAAAGAGAAAATACTTAAAATGGATTTAACACTGGGTTTGAAACAGTGGGTGCTTTTAGTTGCTTTCCTTGAACTCACAGTGTTTGTCATTTTAAATGAGGTCCTCTATTGACTTTTTATGTAATATCTGTCTGTCTCTGTCTGTCTGTCTGTCTGTCTGTCTGTCTGTCTTTCTGTCTTTCTGTCTTTCTGTCTTTCTGTCTTTCTGTCTTTCTGTCTTTGGCAGAACCAGAGATTGAACTCAGGGTTATTCTACTGAGCCATCTCCCTGGCTCCTATATTATGTATTTCTAATTGTTGTTTAATGTGACTACTGAATTATCGTCATAGTAATACTTAGCTCTTAATACCTTCTTTAAGCTTTGTATTGTAACAGAAACAGCTCTTGTCTAGCAGCAAAGAGGATACATAGTATGTGCTGCTAAATGGCCACCTTTGGTTGTGATTAAATTACAGTTTATTTTTGCTTTGTGTGTTCCAAGATTGTGATAAAAAGCTGACTATAGTATGTATTTTAAAAGATTCTTCAAATGCTGGTGGAGTTGTAGGAAAAAGAATCCCTTCTGCACTGTTGGTGGAATTGCAACCACTGTGGAAATCAGTGTGGAGATCCTCAAAAAAACTAGGAGTAGAGGTCCCATTTGACCTGGCTCTTCCCTTTCTAGGCACTTCTTTTTTCCTTTCCTTTCCTTTCCTTTCCTTTCCTTTCCTTTCCTTTCCTTTCCTTTTCTTTCTTGTGGTACTGAGGATTGAACTCAGGGCCTTGTGCTTGCCAGGCAAGTGATTATTGTTTTGAACTATTTCCCTGGCCCCTATTAGATTTTTAATTTAGGTTTTTTTGGTGTGTGTGTGTGTATGTGTATGTGTTATGTGCAGGGTCTCATTACACAACTAGGACTCATAGTGATCCTCCTGTGTTCTGCCTCTCGAGTGCTGGGATTACAGGTGTGCACCACCACGCCTGGACTCCATTACTGGCTCAGTGAGCCTGTGGGCAGGGCCGGCACGGCATACAGTGCTAGGGATCGAACTCTGGCCCCTGCACTTACCTAAGCAAGCGCTTAGTCCACTGAGCTATTTCACCGGCCCTTGGGTATTTTATGTAACTTCTGATTGTGAAAAAATCATACCATAGCTACATATGTGCACTCATATTTATAGGAACTCAATTTGTAATAGCTAAATCTTGGAAGCAACCCAGATGCCCATCAGCCAAGGAATAGATAAAAAAAGATGTATTTTTATACAATGGAGTACTACTCAACTATACAGAAGGATAAACTCAAGGCTTTTATAGGTAAATGGATGCACCTAGAGACCATACTCATAAATAAATCAGACTTGCATGTGTAAACATTGTATTGTCTCCCTAGGGTAAGAAACAAATAATAAATGAAGTCCAATAGGTAAAATAAACACTGTGAAAGGGAAAGAAACTGCTCGAAAGGAATATCTGGGATGGGGGAAAGAAAAAACATCCATATACACACAAGATAGCTAAGATAATTATACTAATTTGTATTAGTTCATTGGAAGGAATGGTTTGTGCTTATTATTTAATCAGTTTTGCATGTCTTATAATCTAAGCCACTACTTTGGAGATACAATATGCAATATAACAGTTAATTTCATATTACCTTGTTTTGAAATTCTGTGTCACTTTATTTTTTCTCTTTAAAATAAAAATAATTTTTGAACTTGCCTTTTTTCTGTATTTGAAAAATACATGTAGGTGGTAGTCTTAGGGATTCTTACTTTATTTCAGTGATGTATAGTGTTAAGTTCTAAATTGTAAATTTCAGCCAATAGAGTCTCTTTATTGGGAATTCCACTTGCTTCCCCAGCCGTACCCTGCAAATGAGCACTCTAAACTCACCTCTGAGAGGGCTGGCGACTACGAGCATGCAGCAGCCTACATGGAGAGCAGACAAGTGAGGCTGCCACTGGTGAGCTCTTACTCTCAGAGTACTTCACAGGAAGTGGGAAAAGCCTGCTATCTGGGGATTTAGACGATGATTGCACATGTATATGTGCTCTCTGAATTGCAAGTCAGAGGTACAATAATCTGTTTCTCCTAAGTTCAGATGACTTTTGGTGCCATACTGTATAGAATAAATCTTTCCATGAGTCAAGGGAGGAGTGCCTGTCTGGAGCAGTATGGAGAGGGGACGATGAGAGGCTCGCATGGCAGGGTCCCTGCTCTCCAAGGTGCTGCTGACTCACTGCTCCAAGGGAGAATTCAGAGCTTTGTAAACTTAAAGCAAGGGTACTTCTTCTCTTCGCTGACTTCTGTGTGAAAAAGTTATGGTTTACCCATGCCTGATGTCAGCCATAGCTCTGACTGCTACTCATCGGTAGAAATTGTGCAAGTTTTCATGGCACACGTGCTGATGTCCTCGCGCAGTACTCACACTTGTCCCCTCAGATCACTTGGGTTCTCGAGCTGCTGCTGGGCCTTGTTGTGTTGGTGCTGCACGTATTACTGGGCCTTGTCGTGTCGGTGGCGTGTGCAGTGCTGCACGTTTGCTGTGTTGGAATGTTTAATTCATTACCTTTTTATTGACTTTGTGGCTTGTCCAGAAAACATGGGTGTTATTCCCTCCTATGCTGTTTGATGAATCAAGATAGGCTTTTATTGTTTTCATTTTCCAGGTTAGAAATTTAAGATGTGTGCCTTTTCAGCCTTCCCCCCCATTTTTGCCATCTTTGTGTGTACTGGTATGAGGGTGTACTGGTGAGAAGGTGGCATTCATTTAGCCTCAGATCATAATTCTGTTAAGAGTCAACTATGTGTGTCTCTGTTCAGAGAAGCCATCTCAGTCCACAGTGGAAAAACAAGTATATTTTTATTTCCATATTGAGTCTAACGTTTTCTTTCTTTTCCTAATTTCAGGGAACTCTAAGTAAATCAGAATGGGAAGCTACAAGTGAGTATATGTAGATATATATATGTATATATATATCATCAGTGCAGGTTAAATGACAGCTCCACAGAGTCACAGCCTTTCTGTGGCATATTTCATGTGCATGTTTGTGCACAGTGTGCCAGTGCCCCTGTGAGTCTAACGCCCTTTCTTGCTCAGCTGTGTGGTGACGAGGAAGCCATGTAGGCTATGGTTCAGAAACATGTATAAAATGTTTATTGCCTGTGTGTACTGAATACTCTCCATCTAGTGTTTGCCTTGGAATTCTGTTGAACTCAGTGGCTCACATGAAACTTTCTATGTTTTTCTAATCCTGATTGTGCTAATGCTGACGTGAAGGCACAGTGCTGGGTGCCGACTGAGGCAACAGTGAGGGTGAAAAGAGGCAGGATGTGAAGAGGCCTTGGAGAGCCTGCGACCTGGTAGGACTATGGTCCCCACAGGGAAGTCCTGAGGCTCATCTTTCTGTTTCTGTCCATTCCCCACCGCCTGCACAGTTTAATGTTTGTTGCTTATGTTGACGGCATAAGTGACAAAGACAAACTTTAGAGAATAAGAAAGCAAACAGGTTAAATCTTTGCCTTGTACAATGGAATGGAAGAAATAGGCACTAGTGAAATGTACTGCTAGGTAAACTTTTAAAATGCTAAAAGGGAAAAATAGGTGGAGAGTGTGACAGGAGTGAAGTCTCAGCAGTAACACAGTAGTTGACACAACTGAGTGTTGCACATTTACTGGTGCTACTGGAGCTGGCCTTTGCCCTGACTCATGCTGGCCTCACAGCGCTTCACAAATACACTGGTAGTCAGTCCCGTGTACCTCCCACAGGTGAGGGAGCAGTGAGAGAACCTTATGGTCGGTCTAAGGCAACAGTTTTACTTGTCCCCACAGAAGTCCCTGCTATGAGTGGGACTTTGAGAAGCTTGAGAGTTACTAACCACATCCCAAGTCAGATTCCAGTTTTGATAGAGTACTGTGACCAACACTATATTAGGGGAAAGGGTGCTGAGAGTTGGTTTGCTGTGGCTTTGGATGGCTCTGTGAGCAGGATGCACTATAGGAAATTACTAGGGTGGGGCTTAGGTGAGGAGCCTGCAGTTCTATGAGCATTCTGCCTGCTTATTGGCCTGTGCTGACAGCCACAGTCATTGCACTGAAGGAAGAGTGAAGATGGTCAAGAAGGAGTAGCACAGTAGCATGGCCAAGAAGTGTCTCATGAGACTGGGACAGCACTGCTGTGCTGGGTGAGTTGGAAGAGTGAAAACTCTGGAAGCTGTCTCAGGCTTTCATCTGTCTGTCTTGCCTTCAAAGTCTGCTTATATGGCCTTTGTGCTGATTGCTATTTAGTGTCCTTGTGTGTGCACTGAACAGCTGGTAATAGTTTCAGGATCAATCATCTTTTGAGAAAGTTTCTTGCCTTCCAGTCTGTGGGGGTATCTTACTAGGTGTGGCATGATGTGCACAGAGAATCATATTTGTGACCTGTCTGTATCTGGACACGTACCGCAGTAGGGTGCCTTGTTTGAGGGAATACTGTTAGGTTTGGGTATGTGTAAAAGTGTCATCACGGGGCCAGGTGGATGGGTTTTCTCAGCATCTCTTACTGTGTGCTTTACGATGCACTTTCCATGCTAGGCCCAAGCATAGCAGCTAGGTAACTGGGTGGATTTTGTTATGTCTTGTTATGTGTGTCTTGTATTTCTTCTCACTAATTTTATGTTTGTGCTCTATGTGAATTACAAACAATGAATTTTATTATTTCTGCTTGTTACATAATTATCCTGCCTTCCTTGTGCCAGGTAAAAAGATTTCAGTTAAACAGGCTTTTTAGGGGCCAGGGAGATGGCTAAGTAGAATAAGCAAGGGCCTGAGTTCAATCCCAGGTTCTTTGGAAAAAAAAAGAAAAAAGGCTTTTGGTTTTCTTTGCTTTTATATTTTTAGGTTTTCTTAAGTGATATTTAGAATTTTAAGGGCTGATAGAATTTTAAGGGCTGGATAGGCTTTCTCATGACTTGTCTTTTCTCTATTGTAATAGGTGGATACCTATTTTGAAAGTAAATATAAATGATTCCATAGGTGCCTAAATGTGACTCATATAATAGAGCTTTTAAGATTAATGAAGTTTTTCTCCCTCAAAAGGTGCTTGAAAGCCTAAGAGTATTTACCTAGCCATAAAGAGGACTAAGATTGTTGTGCTGTTACCTCGAGGATGTGAGAAGCTAACCCGACTCCCCTGTTTCTTTCCCAGGTATTTACTTGGTCTTTGCCTTTGAGAAGCAGCAGTAAGCTCGCAGGCACTGAGGCAGCTCTGTCCTTGCAAATTTGAATGTCCGTCTCAGACAGACTTGACAGTGCTCTCTGTGTGCATTGAAATCATAAATTCTAAATGTGCAAGCTGCAGCTGGAAACTCCAGTGTAGCTAACATTTGCTGTCTGTGACAGATGAACTTTGCGTGTGTATATAGAAATGAGCTGGGACCTTCATCTTTAAAAATTTATTTTTACGTAATGTCTTAAGAATTCATTTGCCTCTACTGTGTTGGCTCATAAAAGTTATTGTGACGTGTTACAGCAACTGGATTCTGCACAGTGCTCCAGTCTGTCATGTGTTTACAGTGGTCCACTTCCTGCAGCTATCACTGTGGCAATGGAGCACACCTGCTGCCTATGTGTGGGCTCCGCTCCATAGTCTGTCACTTAATAGTTTTAAGACTAAATGGATCATGTTGTGTACATGTGAATGTAAATGTTCAGTATATGTTACTATAGACTTAAGTTTAAAACTTGATATTAGATTGTCATAAAGTTACTTAACTAAAATTTTTTCTGTGTGTTGTATTTCTATATAACTATTTGCTAACATGTTGCATTTTGGAACTATTTAGAATATTGAGCTGGCAGCATAGTTATTTTGGAATTTTCTGACTTTCTCTTAAGATTTTCTGGCTGAAACAGTCATTGCTCTCAGCCACAGGGTTGTTAACTAGGCACCATGCTTGCCCTGTTCATTGAACAGGGATGCTATAGTGTAGCTTTTCTCCAGATTTGATGACACTCCCTATCCCTTAAACCTGTTGGAGTTTTTCAGATTTGTACATGTAACTGCAATAGGAATGTGGACTTTGAATCAGTTCTGGCTTGATGTTAGGTCTAGGTTACTGATGCTGAATACCTGCTTCAGCCCAGTAATAAGTGCTTCCTGCTTCTTTGTTACACCAGTGCTTTTGCACAGTAGGAGCCATTGTCTGATCATCATTTTGGATTTTCATTTGCCATTTCAGAATCGTTGGCAGATTGGCATTTGTGCCTAGATAAGCGCCTATGATCCAGATTACTGAGGCTGAGGCAGGAGGGACACAGGCTTAAGATCAGGCTGGGCAATTTAATGCACCAAAATAAAAATAGAAAGGCTTGAGTATATAGTTCATTGGTGAAACAGTTGCTTAGACAGTGGCAAAATAGTTCTCTAGAGTGAGGTGCTGGGTTCAATCCCAAGTACTTAAGAAAGTTGTGTAATTAATTTTTTTCAGAACTGATGGTTACATGAACTGTTGTCCTTACATTATGTCAGCATTTAGGAAACCTGCTGGTTTTGAGTACTGAGAAACTTTTGAGAGCAAAGTAATTGTGTATTCTTTTTTAAATTGCTTAAAGCATGGCTTATAGATATGTTGCTTTGTGTAATTATCATACTTGTTTTCAAAACAGCCTTAGTTTATATCTGTTGTCCACTGTGTTAGATTAGCAGTCAAGTAGCAAACTTCCTGTGACTGCCAGTGGACAGGCAGAGCAACTGGTAATGCTGAGAGTGGAGCTTTTGCTGGAGTGCAGGCTTGCTGCTGCAGTCTGACGTCCATGTGGGTCAGAAGAGTTTGGTAGGTGCTAAGAGCATTCTCATCCCGTGCTATGCTGCTGCTTTAGCCTCAGTTCACAGGCAATACATGTATTTTTAGTTTCCTGAAGCTCTTTCCACTCCATGGGGTTATTTCAAGGAAAGAAGAATCCCCCATGGGATTGAATGGTAAAACAGCAGAGAGAAGAGAAAAAGTGGAGTTATTGAGGCTTTTGGTGTGGAGAAAAGAGGAACTAGCTGGTGGGAGAAGGGCTCTGGGCAGAGTTGGCTGTTGCAGATGGTAGCACATTGTGCAAGCAACCACAGTGTTTCTGTAACTGTTGGTCCCTTGCTTTATCTGTTCTCCTTACTCTCCCACCACTCTGAGTTTGGGCAGCGATGGGGTGAAGGTGAAAGGGGCAGGGTTCTTTCCTGCACGCTGCAGGCCTTTTCTGTGTGGGTTGCAGTGGGAAGACAGTTGTCCAGTGGTCCCAGACTGGCCACCTGCCGAGCAGTTTATCCTCCTTGGTGAAGTTAGAGATGAACATCTGAGCAGCCATTTGTGGAATGGCACAGTCTGGTCTGGGAGAAGGCTTCATTGTGTGTGGCCACAAGCACTGACATTGAGTTCTTTGGGCCTGGGATCTGCCTCAGGGAAAGGTGTTGTGGCCAGTGTTCAGGGGGACACACTGGCAGCAGCAGTCTTCAGCACTGGTGTTATCCTCTGCTGTCGAGAGTGGGCAGGCCAGGCCTGTGTTTGTAGGGCCTGCAAGCAAGAAGCATAGTCTGACTCTTGGGAACGTTTGGTCTTGGATAGCAATGGCATTGATGGAGACTCCCACTAAAGAGAGTGAACCTGTATAGATTGGAAGTTTGCTTATGGATACAGTGATTCCTGGCCCATTCCCCTACCCTGCACTTGGAGCTTGAATAAACGGAATTACTGTTTGACTTCACATGTGTCAATTGGGGATCAGAGCAGAGGGGTACAAACCTTGGTGAAGTTGAGGTCAGGATACAGTGTTGTTAGCAGTGAAAAGCAGAAAGGGTACGGAGCCGTGAGAGGTACGGATCCCAGCCATGCTAGCTTTCCTGGGAGTGTGCCCTAGAGCCCCTCTTAGTTCATTGAGTAAGTTGTTCTGTGTGCCTCTAGCATGTCTCTGACTACGACTCAGCTTCTTCTTAGGCCTGTATGTGGGGTGGAAGTGCCAGTGTCGAAGGTCCAGCTGCTGAGCATTGTTTTCGCTGTGTGAACTGGCTTTGTTGTCTACCTCAGGCTCTGTATACTTGAGTTATCTGGAGCCAGTCACTGCAAAGGTCCTTAGATCTGTAAATAGAGGCCAGTGGGCACCTGGGCCTTGATAGAAGTTATGAACCAAAATACCTGTGGTTCATGGCTTGGCTGTGGGGACTTTGGTTGAAGTCTTTAAGCCTTCACCCTAGAACTGCTTCCTCAGGGACTGAAGTCCTTGGATGAAGCCGAGTTAACAGCTATTATCTCGAAGCTACAAACTTGTATCATTCACCAAGTGTTTTACCTGTGGTAAGTCATCTCAGTCCCTTTAACTTCTCTGCAGTAAGCACTATCATTTCCATTGCAATGACAAGAAAGTGAGGGAAAGAGGATGCTGATCTATTAGCCTGCACCCTGGCTGCATGTCACAGGTGAGTCTTCACCTGGTCAGCATCTGTAGCCTGAGCTGTTTGCTGTGGGGGCGTCAGTATTTTGACTCAAAATGTTGGTGCTTTTTCTAATGCTCCCTGAGAAGAGTGTTGATTCCTGCATTGGAGACTTTAGAGAGAGGGTAGAGGCCTGTCTAATATTTAATGCACTGGTAGGAGGCAGAGAACCTTGAACTCTGCAGTGGGAGGAAGACCTGTTTCTCACAGCCAGACCTGAAGGACTCGGTCAGCTGTGGTGCTCTTCTGCTTTGGCCATGGAATTGCACCAGGAGGCTTCAAGCAGATGGAAGTGTAACATTTGTACAGTCACATCAGTGATTTTCCTAAGTTGATCATATGGATGCAGTTATGTCTCCAACCCAATCAGGCTCCTTCCTGATGACTTCTTCTCTTGCTTTAACTAACCACTGTCCAGTTCTAGGAACATTATGTGAATGGAATTACACATTATGCATTTGTTGTATCTGGCTTATTTGGCTCAGTAATATGTTCATGAGATTTTTATTACATGCATTTTGCACATGGCTCATTCTCATAATTGTGTAATATTCCAGTGTTTAAATAAACTATATATTATCTGATGGAAGTGTGGTTCATTTCCAACTTGAGCTGTTACTCCTGCTCCCCAGATTAGTATGACCTTAGTCCATGAACTCAATTCTCCATAATTCTCTGCAAGCCGAACTGGATGAGACCTGAATCAAATTTCCCTATAAGATGAACATTAAACCTAACCATCAGGTTTGATTTGGTTTTCATACTGCTGAATCTTTGTGAACATAGATATATGTAGATATATCACTGGATGATAGTTCCCCCAAAGAAGAGATGGGGACCACAAGTTGTGCCTCTCCATGGGGTAGGTTCATCAGCTCTTCAGAAAAAGAATTTGAGGCATAGACATTTATTAGGCAGAGTTGAAGTACAGAGAGAAAAGAGTTCTGGGCTTGGAGATACATACAAGGTATGATTTAAAAATACAGTGAAATTATTACAGTAAAAGAATGCTATCAAATGCATTTAAATGCCATTAAACCCTCTCATAACTCACCTATCGAATGCATTTATCCCATTCTTACCATGGAGACCTCTTTGGTGATTGTCTACATTTACATGATTATGGCCACTTCAGTGTCCTTAATCAGTTCAAAAGCGTTTACTTTTTGTGGTCATTTTGATGTTGGGCAAGAGACAAAAGTCACACAGTGCCAGATCTGGTGAATGCAGTGAGGGACACGATGTTTTTATGACCCTGCTTTTCCGTTAGATGGCACCTGGTAGCAACATTCACCATGCATTTGATTCTGCCTTGTAAAGATACTCATGAGAGAGGACTTTTAGGATGGCTTCAGGACATGGCAAATATGATGAGGTAAGTGTGTTTGAAGTAAAAGGGAGTATTCTGAGGGGGATTAAGGGCAGTGTGTCTTTTATTATAAACTTGTAGAAAATCTAAAAATTCACCACAATTTATAGTCACACCTTATACAATACTAGTTGAAACTTTCAGTGCCACCTTTTAATAATGGATAGAACAGCTATGCAGACGATGAGATGGAACACTTAAACAGCATATTAGGCTGTCTACTGTCTGTAACAGGCATGCACATTACCCTCCACCCTCTTGCAGCAGCATACAGTCTTCGCTAGTCCTGTGATGCACTGTGGGTTGGACTGCAGATTAATACAATTGAAGATAGGTGTTTAGAAACACCTATATTTCTGAACCACAATGGGATGAGTGAATATCTGTAACAGGAGATAAACAGCAAAATTCACAAATTAACCAGTGCATAGAAGACAAAATCACAAAGGAAATTGGAAAATGTATACAGCTAAGTGAAGCATACCAAAATCTAGGCTGCTGCAAAAGCCGTAACAATGGCATTTTAAGGCACACATGCATTAAAGATACTCTCAAACAGCCTGACTTTAAAAAGAACAAACTAAACCCTAAGTTAGTCGAAGAAAGGAAATAAAGACTAGAGCACAGGCAAAATTTAAGATGTTTCTTTGAACACATCTAACCTTTTTTTTTTTTTTTTTTTGTGGAACCAGGGATTGAACTCTGGCCTGAGAAGACTCATTACTGAAAATAAGTGGGAAGACTTACGATTCTACATAAATAGTGGATAATAAGTATTATGAACAATTTTTGCTAACCTGATAAATTTTTTAAGAGATCCAGGATTAATCTAGACTGAAAATCTGAAAAGACAAATAACTTGCAGCAAAATTCAGTGAGATAAACATGAGACTAACAATGGAAATGTTTTTGTTGCTGGCAGAACAGCCTGTTGGAAAATCGGAATGTTGATAATCAGAGAAATTGGTACTTTCTTTCTTTTTTTTTAAACATTTACACGTAGCCTAGGTCACATTAGGTCAGTTTGAAATTTTACCAAAATGTCACAAGGTTTACATATTCCAGAGGTTTGTTAGTATGGTTAAATTTTAGCCTCCTACAGTTTCCTTAGATTAGCAATTTGTTCTATTGTGGATTTTATGGTTAAGAGGGAAGAGTGTGAGGAGTGAATTCACCTAAAGTTTAAGTGACTTCTAAAATGGAGTTTCTCTTGGCATTTCATTCCCCGCTCAAGGACATATTTTCCTTTGTTAGAATATATA